CGCCACGTCGCCCACGTCCATGTCCGACCCCACGGGATCGGCGTTCACCTTCAGCGCCACATGGAGTGGTAGAGTACCGCACGCAGCTTCACGTCGAGCTTCTTGCCCTGGGGTTGGCCGAGGTAGTCCACTACCTTCACATCCGCCTTGGCCTGTGCTGCCTTTCCCTCCGCGTCGTACAACTTAATGGAACGGTCGTAGCCCAGCTCCAGCTTGCACTTGTTCCCCATATCCGTCGATACTTTGTTGTCCCTGGCGCACGAGCGGTGGGTGTCCTCGTGCTGCAATCTCGGCTTGGCCATCTCCTCCAGCGGCCGTCTCTCGTTGCTGCTCAGGTTTAAGCCGGCAGCCGCTGGTGAGGGTCTGGCTTGGGGCTTGTCAGCTGGGGCATGGTCACAAAGAACATGAAGGTCGCTGAGTTGGCCACTAGTAATTCTGAGACCGCTCAAGCTCCCAAGCTGCACTCGGTGACTAACTTTGATATCAGAACGTAGTGCAATCTTTTTGGATACTGCATTGGCCACTCCGTCCTCGAGATGGCGAGATGATCGGTTAGAGGTCGTAATGATGTAGCATTCGCTCATATACTGTTGCCCGACGGGGAGTTGACCGAAAAGCTCCGTTGGAGAACTGTCTGCCATTGTTGGATCAATATCCCGCAGCTCATCAATGAATCTGTCCTGGTACTGAGGCACTCTGCTGATCAGCGGTGTGATGGGTCCGCCTTTGCCTCCAGCCTCCGCCACAGCCTCGGACCACTTCTGCCAGTTCTTGGCAACACCAGCAAATAGGGGGTGGTCCCGAGCCTCCACATGTTGGGGCGGAGTACGCTTAGGAACGAGTCGGCCCACTCGGACAGATTCCTCCAAGATCCTTTGGTCACGAGCTGGTCCCAATGCCACTGGGGTATCACTGGTAGCTGTAGCGAAGTCCTGAACTCCAGTACGCATGGACGACGCAATGTAGACGATTCTGAACACGCCCTGGCCGTCTGGATTGCGCCACGTTGTGCTACGACCATTGGCACCACCAATGGTGCCCCGCAGGGCAAGTACGTCCCCCTGTGCAGCAGCAGAGTGTCGAAGAACTTTGTCCCGTTGGCCAGGCATCAGCATAGTCTCGACTTTGTTTGACCATACCTTGATGAGGCCACGCCGTGATGAGCGGGAATGGGCAGGAAGAAAAGATTGGACGGGTACAGCACCGTTGAGTGCCGCCATTCTGCATAGCTTCGCCACTGCGTCCTGGCCCTCGTAGAGGTCGCCCTTATGCCACTCTCGCCCTCTGGCGGGAATGGTGCGGCAGGCTCGGTGGTGATACCACATGCTGTGCACTTGCTCGTCTCTGTCGGTCATTGTCGGCAACCTCTTGAGACTCCAGGACGGTCGTGCCGCCGTCCAGCGCTCGGCCCTCCAGCGCGTAGTGTTCAGCTCTGCGACAGCTCGCGAAAGGAGGCAACGGACGAAACATCGTGACAATGCCATCGCACTTGCATGCTGTGCGGGGGTTTGCGACCCCGCTGGCAAATCAGTGTCGCTCGACATCGCTCGAGCCAGGGCCTTCTGAGCGCGCTTCCCGTCGTCCGCCAGGTCTTAATCAGAGAGCAGCGCCGAGACCTTCCCCCCTCAAACTCCTCCCAGTTGATAATATTTCCCTCTGGGTCCCCACCAACGTCCATCGCGCGACTCTTCGAGTCCAAGCGTTCTTCCCATCATCCGCCAGCGACATCAGCGGCACCTTGCCCAAGCACGCCGCGTCCAATTTTGCCTTGGTCGCCGTGCGCCAGTCCGAGGCTGCCGCACCCGCGAGCTGCAGGTCTGCGACGTGCACTGCGACGACGCCGCCCGCGTTGCTTGCCACGCCGGCGAGCTGCGGGTCTGCGACACGGTCCTCCTCATCACGCCCTGCGGTGCAGCCAGCGCCTGACGAAGAAAACGCAACAACCATGGACTGAGGGACCGTGGAGGCTGCCGCAGGTCCCTCGGGCAGTGGTCCAATCACACCTCCTGCCTCGGTTGCCACACCTCTGCGCACGGTGAGCGACTTTGTCCTCCTTGGTGAGGCTCCTGTCGGTCTTCCACGATATTCTTCTCCACGATCCTTTTCGGCTCCTCCCTTAGTGGGCCCCGGAAACGGCAGGGCCGTTTTTTCACCGTTTCCGAAAAAGTGTCCCTTGAAAATGGGAACGGCAAAAAAACGGCGACCAGAAACGGCAACAAAAACGGCTCCAGGATTGGAACCGGAGCGGGAACGTGTGAAAGAACGGCGCCGGAACCGGTAACAAAAAAACGGCGTCGGAAACGGCAAGAAAAACGGCAAAACGGAGCCTGTAAAAACAAAAACGGCCCTGTCGTTCCCAGGACCCACTAAGGTGTCGTCGCCTGGCGCGGAGCCTGTATGTGCCTTTTCTGACATCGGGCGTGCCTTTTCTGACATCGGGGACACTGGCGTCGGGGCGGGGTGCCGCCCCGCCCGGCACGAGGCCCACCGTGCGCTCGGCGGGCGGTGCGGGGCGCATGACCCAGGAATCCACGCTGTACTCCTCCTCCTCCTCTTCCTCCTCCTCCTCCCCCTCCTCCTCCTCCTCCTCCTCCTTCTCCTCCTCCTCCTCCTCCTCTCCCTCCTCCTCCTCCTCCTCCTCCTCCTCCTCCTCCTCCCCCTCCTCCTCCTCCTCCTCATCCTCCTCCTCCCCTCCTCGTCGTCCTCCTCCTCCTCCTCCTCCTCCTTCCTCCTCCTCCTCCTCTTCTTTCTTCTCCTCTTCCTCCTCCTCTCCTCCCCCCTTCTGCTCTTTTTTATCATGGCCGCTTATCTTCGGCCTGCAGAGCGCGACCCCCTCTGCGGCCGTGTACATTGTCAGATGGTGCCGTGGGCGTACCCCTCGCCTCTCATCCGCGTCCGCCTCCTCCCTTTCTGCCGCACCCTGCGCACACCTTGCGCCCGTTTGGGCCGCGTGGCGCACCCTTGGTAATTACCCTTGCGCGGAGGCGACTGCCGGCCCACCTTTTGGCGGTTGGGAGATAGCAGTCCGAGGCGCGCTTGCCTCTCCAGTGGCCTGCCCCACTGCCCCTGGCAGGGCGGACTTCGGGCAGGTTTTGCGCCGCACAGTCAACCCGCACAGCAAGGCTGGGCAACTTTTCCCAAGGGTACCCTTGCATCCTTGCCTCCTCGGCCCATGCTTGGCCGCTCTCGCTGGCCGCGCCACGCTCGCAAAAGTGTCGGCATGTTCCTCCAAGGCCCTTGCATCCTTATCGCGCATCCTTACTATGCAGGTTGACTCCTGGACAGGACACAGCGGTGCCCCATGCGGAGGCCAAATGATCCTTGAGGTCTGGAGGCTCCGTGGCCGCAGCTCCAAGGGGCGCATCCCCGACACGGCTGCAGAGAGTCCGACGGCTTCTCGAGGCGAGCAGAGAAGACTGTCCGCGGCGCTGTCCCTCGGCGCCGCGCCACCCTTGATATCCTCCCCCCGCCGCCGGACTCAGTCGGATGACGAGTAGTCGACCCGTCCCTCTCCCCACCCCTCCCCCTCCCGCTCCATGCCCCCTCCCCCTCGCGGAGGAATGCCTGCCGCCCGCCGCGTGTGCGTCCAGGTGTTTCTGGCACGCTTCTCTGTGACTCAAAACGTGTCGTTTTAGGTTCCACCCCCCCTCTCTTGGGAGCGCCCTGCCTCAAATACTTGCCCTGCTCGACATTGCACGAGGCGGTCTATACCCGTCGACTGCAACCACGGCGATCCAAATGGAAGACGGGGCGAATGCTGACGATGACTTGCGCTCCCACTTTCATCGTCATCGTCGTCGTCATCGTCATCGTCATGGTCAGGGAGCGTGGGCCTGATGGTGCGATCTCCGACCTGCGGAGGTCCGAGAGCGTGCCCGAGCCCCTATGGAGCCGCTCGGCCGGCCACGGGCCTCCTCTGCGCGGCCGACGTGCTCTCGCCCGAGCTGCGCGCCTCTCGGGAGAGACAAAAGTACCACTACCACCAGCCAGGGCGGTGGCCGCTCCCTTCCCTCGAGCTGGTGGCACCTCCTTCCGGGAACTCTCTGGAGGCATGCCCGGAACGAGGTGCCACCAGCTCGAGAGGACGGGACAGCCACGTCCCTGGCTGGTGGTAGTGGTAGTTTGCCCCTGGTGAAGTCTCGCGGCTCATCGACGACTGCGGACGGAGACTTCTTGGAGATGCTCGCCCCCTTCCCGCCTTTCCGGAGGTCTCCCGGAGGTCTCCGCGGCTCATCGACGAATGCGGACGGAGACTTCTTGGAGATGCTCGCTCCTTCCCGCCTTTCCGGAGGTCTCCCGGAGGTCTCCCAGAGGTCTCCCGGAAGTGCCGTCGGACTCACCGTATGGCCAGCAACACCCTGTCGACCTGCTACACACACGCGATGAAGACGCCGTTCGGGTCAGGATACCCTGGGTTTCTTCGTCTGCAGCCGAAGCGCAAGACACCCAACCCTGTACCCTGGAGCAAGAAACCTCGGCGGATTTCAGGGTTTGGTTTCTTGCGGCGGGTCTCTCGTGGATTAACTTCCACCGTATAGGAGCCCCCTGGAGGCTCCCTCGAAGGCACGAGCTCACTTGTGATCAGGTTGGACATTTTGGTCCCCGCCCACCCCCCACCCTCCGACAGATGCCCTGCAGCGTAGCGCGGACACCAGAAGCGCGCGCACGCGAGCTTTCGGTCTGCCCGGAGGGAGGATGCCGGGCCAGCACGCACCCCCCCCATTCTCCCTCGCCACCCCTCTCTCGACGCAGGCAGGCCTGCCGCGGGAGTGGCGAGCAGCAGCCTCCAGCCAAGAACTTCCGACAACCCCGGTGCCCCCTGCCCCCCCCGCCGTCGCCATGGCCGCCGTCGCTCCGTGCCGCCCCCGCCGTCGGTGCACGCCGCCAGCGCCCCTGCCCGCCGCCGCCTCCGCCGCCGTGGCCCCCCCCCCCGCTTCCCACCCCCCAGCCCGTCGCCGCGTCGTGTCCGCGGCCGTTGCCCCCCCCCCCCCCCCCCGAAGGCTCCACCGCCTCTGGCGGCGGCTCCCTGTTCCCGACGGGGGGCGGCGCCGCCGCCTCGGCCAGGTTCCCGCCCATCGACGCGGGCGGCGGCGGGGGCGGGACCGCCCCCCCCCCTCCGCCCGTGTTCGCGCCGATCGGGCCGGGTGCCCTGGACGAGCGGGGGGGAAGTCGAGGGGGAGCGAGCCTGGGGCCTGGGAGAGGAGGAGCTGCAGGACGAGGGCATGGAGGGGAGGTCGAGAAGGACGAGGACGAGGAGGATAGGAGGAGGAGGAGGAGGAGGAGGAGGAGGAGGAGGAGGAGGAGGAGGGGAGGAGAGGAGGAGGAGGAGGAGAGGAGGAGGAGGAGGAGAGGAGGAGGAGGAGGAGGAGGAGGGGGAGGAGGAGGGGAGGAGGAGGAGGAGGAGGAGGAGGAGGAGGAGGAGGAGGAGGAGGAGGAGGAGGAGGAGGAGAAGCAGGAGGAGGACGAGAGGAAGCCGATGAGGAGAGGAAGCCGATGAGGAGAGGAAGTCGAGGAGAAGGAGGAAGAGGGGGAGGGGGGAGAGGGCGTCGAGAAGCAGCAAGAAGCGGATAGGTTTCCGAAAGTTTCTGACCCCTCCTGGGCCCTCGGCTTCAGATCCCGCGCCGCTTTATCCCAGGACAACTCTTCGGCGCTGTTCAAGGTGGTTCTCGCAAGCCCAAGCCCCCGCCAAACGCAGGTCAATGGGCACGCGCGGTCTGCGCATGCAGGAAGACGTTGCGGCGACATGCGCAGTTTGAGATCGGCCCGTTTTGGTAGGAAGTGCGTGGGGCGAGCACGCGCACGGGACCTATGACCTTCAACTAGTCACTAGTCGCATTCACGCCCCCCTTTCGCAGAGGCGGAGAGGGGCTCGATGGCGACCCCCGCAGCCTCGCCGGGGGCTTGCTCGATGGGCGACGGCGGGTGGCGCTGGAGCCGAGCGGTCTGCCGCCTGCGCCACCGCGAGGGCAGTGCAAAAAGGAATGGGAGAGGTGGGCGAGGGCTCCCCGGGCGAGCTGCAGTGGCGCCGAGGGCAGAACTCACAAACGCAGCAAGCAGTTAAATACCAGACACTTGGCATCGCTCGGACGTGTGCATTTTTTCTTTCGGCGAGGACCATCGAGGAGCATCCTTGATCATTTGGCGAAAAAAAAACACACGCACGAAACCGAAAACAGCACAGGGAATGGCCGTCCGAGCGATGGCCAGCGAGGGCAGAACGTACAAACGCAACCAGCAGTTAAATGCCAGACACCACTGAGGCCTGAGGGAGCGCGCGGAGGCGGCGGCGGGCGCCAAAAAGGGCCCCCGCAGGAAGAACCAGTGCGCTTTGCATCGCTCGGACGTGTGCATTGTTTCTCGGCGAGAACCATCGAGGACCATCCTGGACCATCGAGCAAACAAAAAACACGCACGAAACCGAAACATGCACGGGAAATGGACGTCCGAGCGACGGCAAGTGCGAGTGCACACGACGTACTTCTGGTGACTGGGGTCCAGTCCTGGCGGGGGGGGTGCCGGCAACCACAAAGGGAGGGCGACTGGGAGCGGCCCACGAAGAGAGGGCCACGTTGAAGTGCTGACTAGACCACGTGGGCGAGCAGCAACGAGAGCGAGGCACCAAGGCCATGCAGAGCTGCTAGAAGCGGGGGACCACGGAAGGCAGGAACATGTGACGACGGACAGTTTATTGCGGACGAACTGATAGCTCGGACGCTGGCCAAAATGGCGCGCGAGACTGGTTGGGCGGCCCCATTGCGCACGCGCGGCGACTCTGGCGACAGCGGCCCTGTGGGCCACGGGATGGGGGATGCTCTGGAGGAGCGCGGCAGAAAAAAAGCAAGGCGGCATACACGGAGAGGCGGCGGGGTCGGCCAGCACCGAGAGGGGGCCGAGCCTGCGATCGACGCGTGCGCGCGCGAGAGGAGGCCTTCGCTTCGATGCTCGTTTCGGGGACCTTCCTGGAGCCCACCTAACGGATCTGTTCGACCCCAGTTCGACTCGAGTTCGACTCAAGTTCGACTCAAGTTCGACTCAGGTTCGACTCAGGTTCGACTCAGGTTCGACTCACGGTCGACCCAAATCGACTGACGTTCGACGCAGCTTCGACGCACGAGTGGAGCGAGTGGCTCCAGGAAGGTCCCCAGAACGAGCATCCAGCTTCGCGGAGCAAATGATGATGCATCGAACGGGAGGTCACGGCGTGCTTGACGCAGAATGGTTCGCAGCTTCTTCTCGCGAACATGCACTGGGGCGCACAGCCAAGAACCTCAGACGCGGGGGGCCACCCTGGCCACCGTGGCACCACCATAAGGACCAATCCAAGAGAGCAAACAGGCCAGTGCGCTGCCGAATGCTCACGATGACACTGCCTGGTTCAAGGAAAGGCTCCGACAAAACCTGACTGCAGGCCGCAACAAATCAGAGCGTCACAATCAGCGCGGTCAGCGTTGGTTGGACGCAGAGAGGACAACCAACAATCAGAGAACTTGGACAGACCTGCGACACGGCAAATGTTTTTTGCGGAAGTGGGAAGCATTAAGCGGCAAATGTGTGCGGCAGGCTTCCACGAGAGCACAACGCAACAATGCAGTCCATGGACTGGCCGCGCTGGCGGGCGCCAGAAAGGTGTCGCGGAATTCATGGATTTTTCGGACGATCCAAGACATCGCAGCATCCTTTTCATTTGGGGGAGTCCTCATTCGACGAGCACGGCATCTGAACACATTGCCAGCCTCGCACATCTCGGCTATGCGCCAGAGGCCGCCATGTGCGCTGACACCGCAGAGCTGGCACGTAGGTGGCCATTGGGGAACGCAGCGGATGCGATGGCGCCGCCCGCGTTCCATGCGCGTAACGGGCCAAGCCCTTCTCTAGCTGCCGGCGTAGAAGCCCCCCAATGAGGCCTAAGCTTCCCCAATCCTTCCGACGAAGACCTCCCAATAGTTGCCTCCTAGCGTCAAGCAGTGGCGAAGTGTCACTGCTCGCCTATAGGCTCACCAAAGAATGCTCTAAGAACCTGATGTGGTCTGCGCGAAATGTTCTCACAACATATCTGGCCGAAACCATTATGCTAGAACGCATCGGGTCAATCTAAAAAAGCACTGTTTTGTTATCCGGGACATGTGTGGAGTTTGAGAACATGTCGTGGGAGGCCTACAGGAACACCGTCGTGGTAGGCCTGGAGGAAGGCCGGGGCGGTCGGTCCCTGCTCAGCAAAGGCCCCGTTCCTCTTCATTGGCCCCCCCCCGCGTCGTGGCGGCCGTGGCGCCGCTAATTGTATGGCTCGCCTCGGGGCGGTGCCGCGAGGGCCGGCGGGCCTCTGGCCCTGCCGCTCCCTGGAGAGCCGCGCGCGCGGGGACGGGCTGACCTCGGAGCTCCCCAGACTTCGAGCAGTTCGGGGATCGGCTGCGCCCCGTCGCTTTCGGCTAATTCGCGGTCGCGTGCCCCGCTTCTACTGGACTCGCCGGCGGCGCGCTCGCCCGCTCCCGCTGACGAAAAAGTAGTTCGGGGATCGGCTGCAGAATGGACTCACCCCAGAATGGCTTACTTCTGGGAATCGACAGGGAGGACGAAGCTTTTGTGTTGCCATGGGTTCGACGAGAAAGTTAGTTCTGGGGTGCATTAATTCTGTAGTCGATCCACTACTCGAAGACTTCGAGAAGTTAGGGGATCGGCTGCAGAATTGACTTACCCCAAGCTTGATTACTCCTGTGAGTCGACAAGGAAGACGAAGCTTTTGTTTTGTTATGGGTTCGACGAGCAAACTACTTCTGGGGTGCATCAGTTCTGTGGTCGATCCGCTGCTCGAGGACTGTCTTACACATCCATCGCCTGGCGCAGCCCCTCGCCTGGCGACGGGGGCGGCACGGCTAGCAGCGCTGCATGCTCAGGAGAGCGCGGCCTGCCGCGCACCAGAGGAGGAGGGGGAGGAGGAGGAGGAGGAGGAGGGGGAGGAGGAGGAGGGGGAGGAGGAGGAGGAGGAGGAGGAGGAGGAGGAGGAGGAGGAGGAGGGGAGGAGGGAGGAGGAGGGGGAGGAGGAGGAGGAGGAGGAGGAGGAGGAGGAGGAGGAGGAGGAGGACGGCCACGTCGGCCGTGCACCCGCAGAGGAGGTGGTGGGCGGCCAATGGGCCACCACTTGCTAGTCGCTGCTGCCACGCAGACATTCGCGTCTTTTCTTCAGACGAACGGGTGCTGCAACAACCTGTTCTTCTTCTTCTAGCCTCCTACCCTTTTAGGTTCCATAGGGCTAGGGTTCAGAGGGAGAGCACCCGTACCGGATTCTCAGACACACGATGGCTCAAGTCTGCAAAAAAAACGGGGGTCTTACTGCCCCTCCCGCCCCTCTCCAGCTCTCTCTCTCTCTCTCTCGCAGTCTCCTCTCGATACCCACGTGCGCTCACACAGATGGTGCGGTGACCACAGCAGGTGGCGAGTCAATGCATCCGGGATGGCCGAACGAACAGTTTTGGGACCCCAGACCCCCTCGCGTGGTGACAAATCACGACGGGAGGCTTTTCGCCATTTTCAGCTTTCGGGGGCCCTCGCCGGGCCCCAGGACCGTCAACAAATGATTCAGGATGAAGACTGGTCCCCGGGACGGGGTCCAGGGGGGCCCCGTATCGCAAAATAAGGACGTCGGGGGTCTGGGACTCGAGTCGTCCTCCGGTGATGCCTCAGAAAATTGGGGCGTCCAGAGTCCCAACACAGTGCGGTGGCGGACCCTGCTGTGAGGTCTTTCGGGAGCCCGCGGTCACCGCACGGCCTGCCACTGCCAGCGTTGCAGGATCGCCCCATGAGTCAGTGAGCAACCGTTGCCGATGCCTTTCAGTGGCACGCGATCCTCACTCCTGTCTCGGCCGGACCCCGCCTCAAGGATGCCGGCCCACGGCGTCGGCAAGACCACCCAGCGGCACCGTGCCAACAAGGTCCGGGCGGGCGGGTGGTGACCGGCCCTTCCGAAGAGCCGCGACGTCGACGGCGATGGCGCCCACGGCGACAACTGAGACGGACGATGAGGGGTGGTGAGGCTCCGGGTTGCACTCAGACTCTCGGGCGAAGAGAACTATGCACATGCACCGATCCTGCCCAGGCCCATCCTTGACCCAGGATCGGTGCATGTGCCTTCCTGGCCAAGGTAGGAGGGCGTATGCACCGATCCTGGGCTCAGGATGGGCCTGGCCAGAATCGGTGTATGTGCATAGACCTTTTCCCTCTAGACTCACGGGAAGAAAGACCACCCAGAACCGACAATGGGCGTTCACTCAACGGCCCTGGGCGTTTACTACAAACAGCCCTGCCCTGCTCGATCCCTTCCGTGGGCGCGCTTGCCAAGCGGCTTCGCGTGTGGGAGGGATCATTCTTTGTGTGGGATTTCCTGCCCTCCACAGACGAGCCCCCCAGGCGGTCTTGGCTGCGGCCTCAATAGGCCCCCCGAGTGGTCCGGGGAGGCGGCCTCCACACACACCCCGGCCTTGGGGCGGGGTTGGCGCCCGGGGGGGCCTCGCCAGAGGCGGTGCCCGGGTGTCGAGACCGGCCCAGGCCACTCGGGGGAGCCTGTCGAGACAAGTCGGGGCTACCTCATTCGGGGGGCTGACTGTGAGCAGCCCGGAGCTTGACCAATGAGGGGAGGGGTGAAGAGGAGGAGGAGGAGGAGGAGGAGGAGGAGGAGGAGGAGGAGGCTGAGGAGGAGGAGGAGGAGGCTGTCCTGCTCTTCCGCTCCTGCCTCTGGGGGCTTGCCTTCTCGCCCTTGGGGTGGTTTGGCCCTCCGCCTGTGCTGTTTTGCCTCAGGCGCCCCCCTTCCCCCACCTCGTTGTTAGTGATCGTGCGATGCTCTCTACATTTCGTTGCTCCCACCATCTTCCACCGCTATCGCTACGTTTGTTCTCACATGTACTCTACGTTTCACTTCTTCCCCAATGAGCCCAGACCCCTTTTGTGTTAAGACGAGGGTGCTCGGCAGGACAGGCGGTTGCAGGATTACCTTCACCAGCCGTTAGCAGCAGCAGGAGGAGGAGGAGAAGGAGGAGAAGAAGGTGGAGAAGGAGGAAGAGGAGGGAGAGGAACGAGGAATAGTGGATCGACGAGGAGGAAGAGGGGGGAAGGGGAGGCACAGCTGTCCACGTCTCGATCGATTTAGTGTCTCGTGCCGCTGTCTGTGCGCGAAATCGGTCGATTCGATTTCTCCAACGATACGTGTTTTTTGTTCGATCGATGCATCCTTCTTGGATTTCAGATCGTAGGGCTTGTTTTCGGGGCCGGGAGCACCAACAGTGGGTCTGGGACGAACAACAAACCCCCGGGGAAGATGTCGGGAGCTCTGAGGCTACAGATCGAAAAATCAGATCGGCGGCAGGGTGGATGAGGATGAGTTGCCGTTTCGGATGATCGCCCAGACTGGGGGTGCCGGAGAAGCCGCAGCAGACCCACACCAGCCAAGACGCCGAAGTAGGGAACCGCTGTGGTTCGGTGGTGGCTCGCCGTTTCCCATGTCCTCCAATGGCTGCTCCTCCAGCGCCCCTCGTGCACCCATGCGCCTCATGGGGCGGCCACAACGGGGCTCCTCTCCTCATCTCTAGCGTCCCTTATGTTCCCAGCTTGGCTCGAGAAAGGCTGCATTGCGTTCCCAGTAGATGGGGTCGGAGGATCGTGCCGCAGCACCGGCGATACTTCGGCGATGTCGGCGTGTAGAGAGTCGGCCTCCACATCGCGGCGCATCATCGATGCATAATTCGGCGATGAAAGCTACCCCCTTGAGACGCACTGCAGCGATAACAGCTACCAGGCGCGCAACAGAGTTAGGGGAAACCGCTTGCCACACACGCGCACACACATGGAAAGGCAGCGCCCCAGACATCCAGCTGCTCCAAGTTTTTGGAAGCGTGGGCCCCGGAGGTCTGGACCACTTCCCTACGGCCGTTTTTGCGTCCTGAGTCGTTGGTTGCCGCTCCCGAGGCCCGGCGAGGGCCCCTGGAGGCCGACAGCGGCCAAACACTTGCCGCTGCAGTTTTTGCTTGGCGGCTCATGGTCCGTTTGATGTATCGGCGCTTGGGCGGAGAAATCTGCAGCTGCCGCCTCCACTGGAGCGGTGCCTACCGGCGCGGGCGTTGTGCGTCTGGCCGCAGCCTGCCCGCTTCTGCCGAGAGAGGATGTGATGGGTTGATCGTCGGCTGTCCGCGTACCCCTTCCTCCTCCTCTTCCTCCTCCTCCTCCTCTTCCGTCCCTTTTTCTTCTTATAAATAACTTCTCCCTGTCGCACCCGGAAGCCAGTTCTGAGGGCGGGCCGGGCGTTTCGCCTGAGACTTCCTCATTATCTATGATTCTAAAGCTTAAACATTGGCAGCTTTTTTCGCAGATTGACGGCGGGTGGTTTTCAAAATGTGGTTTTCGCTTTTGCGCCGGGCGGATTCGTTGTTCTAATGCACAAGGGTTTCAGGGGTTCGCAGGCCTAGAGGTTGACACCAACATCAATATCGGCGGTGTGCTTCCGCCGAGGGAAGAAGATCCCGATTTCGGTGATGGTGGTAATATTCTGGCTTCCAAGGTAACCGAAATATTACCACCAACACCGAAATCGAGGATAATCTTTCCCCTGTGGAGGCAGCCCCCTGTGTTGGTCTTGGTGCCAATTTCCAGGCCTTCAACGGGTGGTTTTCAAAATGTGTTTCTCGCCTCAGCGCGGCGCACAATCGTTTTAAACATGTGCACGAGCTTCACGGATTTAGGGCGAATCGTTTTCGAAATGTGGCTCTCGCTTTAGCGCCGCGCACATTCGTTTTAAACATGTGCAAGAGCTTCATGGATGGTGGGCGGGTCGTTTTCAAAATGTTGTTTTCGCCTTAGCACGGTGCGCGTTCTTCTTTAAACATGTGCAAGGGTTTCACGGATTAAGGGCGGTTCCTTTTCAACATGTGGCTCTCGCTTTGGCGCCGCGCACATTCGTTTACAACATTTGCAACGCAACAGTCAGGCTGATCCGTGGCGTTGGAATCCCGAGAACAATGCTTTGGCATGCTTCGGGGTCTTCAAAAGGTTGTCTTCTAACGAGGCAGTTCCGTCAATGGAAATGAACGTTGTAGGGGCCTAAGAGGAGGGAATTCGGATGGAGGTTTTTTCCAACATCATTGGTGACTCTTGGATTCTTCACTGATCCTCCTCTTCCTCCTCCTCCTCCTCCTCCGTGTCCTTATACATGCTTTTTCCATGTCGCACCCCGAAGCCTTTGTTTGGGGCGGGCCGGGCGTTTCGCTTGAGACTTCCTCACCATTTATGATTCTGAAGCCTTAACATCAGCAACAGCTTCGCAGATGGAGAGCGGCTCCTTTTCAACATGTGGCTCTCGCCTTAGCGCCGCGCGCATTCGTCTTAGAAAATGGCAAGAGCTTCACGGATTGAGGGCGAATCGTTTTCAAAACGTGGCTCCGTCTTGGCGAGGCGCACATTCGTTTTAAACATGTGCAAGAGCTTCACGGATTGAGGGCGGCTCTTTTCCAACATGTGGTTTTCGTGTTAGCGCCGCGCACATTATTTTTAAACATGTGCAAGAACTTCACGGATTGACGGCGGCTCCTTTTCAAAATGTGGTTTTCGCTTTAGCGCCGCGTGTATCCGTGATACAATTTGCCAGAGCTTCACGGATTGAGGGCGAGTCGTTTTTTTGTAAATGTGGTTCTCGCCCTAGCGCCGCGCACATCCGCTTTAAACATTTTGCAAGGGCGCTTCACATATTGAGGGCGGCTCCTTTTTCAAAATGTGGCTCTCGTTTCAGCGCCGCGCACTTTCGTTTACAATATTCGCAAGGGTATCACGCATTCCCATGATCCACGTACCAGAGAAACTATGTTATGGAAGGGTTCAAGCTTATTAGGGTTCACAAGTTATGTTGATTCTCGGTGTTCAAGTCCCAGGAATGGCGTTCTGGCACAATTCTGGATTGTCAAGACGCAGCAGCCAGGTTGATCCGTGGCGTTGGAATCCCCCCAAACAGTGTTTTGGCATACTTCAGGCTCTTCAGAAAGTTGTCTTCTAACGAGGCAGTTCCTTCAGTAAGCATGAACCCTTGTAAGGGCCATTGAAGAGGGAGCTTGGAGGGAATGTTTATTCCAACATCGTTGATGTCTCTTGGGCTTACACTGGTCCTCCTCATCATCATCCTCCTCTCCTCCTCATCCTCCTCATCTTCCTCTCCTCCTCTTCTCCCTCCGTCTCCCCAGAACATTCGCTAAAACACACAGAGGCAGGTAGCAAGAAGAGCCTCCGCCGGCGCCCGTGAGGCCACCGCGGAGGGCCCCGGCGTCTCCCACAGGGCGGAGCCGCTGCAGGCGATGCAGGCGGCGGGCCAGCCCAGCGCCGGAGGCGCCCCCGCCGGCGCCTCCCGGGGCGGGTGTGGGGAGCGCGCTCGCCCTTCGAGGAAGGCAAAGCAGCCATAAACATGAACTTTCGACGCTCCGCGCGGATTTCTTGGAGCCGCGCTGGGCCCCTCCAGTGGCGCCTCCGGCGCCGCCTCTGGCGCGCTCCGCACGCCAGGGAGGTGGGTGCAGCGCGGATGCAAGAGGTCCGCGCGGAGCGCGGCGTTTTCTCTTCCTCCAATCCTGGGGCGCAGGTGGGGCGCGCTCGCCCCGGACTGGTCACGATGCTGCTCTTCATCGTCTGCCTGTTCCTCGAGCCCCTCGCTCTGGTCGTCGTCGTCGTCCTCCTCCTCCTCCTCCTCCTCCTCCTCCTCCTCCTCCTCCTCCTCTCCATCCTGCTGCCCGTCCTCGTCGCGGCCCTCGCCCCTTCATACTCCCCATCCTTCCTCTTCCTGCAGCCTCCTCACATGGTTCTCCCTGGTTGTCCCCATGTTGCTCTTCCTCTTCCTCCTCGTGTTCCTCATCCTCATCCTTCTCTCCAGGGGAGGAGTAGCGGTCCGAGGAGGAGAAGGGGAAGGCATGGGGATAATGAATAGGGGGAGGGCTAGGAAGACGAAGGGGGCGGGAGGAGTGTGAGAGCGGAGGAGGAACATTGGGATTGAAGGCGATAACGAGTAGGAAGACGTAGTAGAGGGGGAGGTTTGGTTGGATAATAATGGAGATCGAGGAAGAGGAAAGAAAGAGGGTACGAGGTTAGAGGGAAGGGGGGAGTAAGACAAGGCAGGAGGAGGAGGAGAATGGTGAGCACGTCTCGCGGATGAGACCGAGCAGGAAGCGGGACGGTCGAAAAGTTGACGAAGCGGGAGGAGGAGGATGAGGGTACAGAGGAAGAAGCAAGAAGGATGACGAGGAGGTGAGTGCAGGAGTGAGTAGGAGGGAAGAGAAGAACGAACAGGGAGAAACATGGAGAACAAGGAGTGAGCAGGAATGGAGAGGATTGCAGGTAAGGGTGAGGAGGGTAAGAGGAGGAGCAGTATGAGAGGGGACGATGACCATGGCGACGATGGGGGTAGGACTAGGATGGATGAGGAGCAAGGAAGAGGGAAGCGGTGGGATGGAGGACGCAGGGGAGGGACGGAGGAGGCTGCTTGATTGCGAATGGGTCGGAACGTGGGGATGTGGAGGAGGAGAGGCAGGAGGAGAAGCGGGGGCGGCAGTCGACGCCTTCTCACGCCAGGTCCCAGGCTCAAGGAGTAGGAGCAGGAGGGGAAGAGGAGAAGGGAATGGGATTGAGGAGAAGGAGCAGGAGGAGTAGGAGCAGGAGGGTAAGAGGAGTAGGAGTAGGAGGAACGCTGCGGAATGACAAACTGGTGTGATCATGGTGTCAGCGTTCGCTGTGCCACTGATGGTGATAGCTCAAGCTCCCGAGGCCGTAGTCGTCGTACGCTCGCCGCTGCCGAGCGATCCCAGGAGGAGGAGAAGGAGGAGGATGAGGAGGATGAGGCCACTCATCCTGCACAGCGAGCCTACACCCGCCTGGTCAGATCCTCAGATCTGACGTCTTGAACAACTGCAACGTAGTGAAACATCATGACCGGAGCTCGTGACCCGATTTCTCTGCAGCATGTTTCGACCAGTTTCGGCCTCCGCGGGTCCTGCGTCCTCACCGCCCGTCCTGGGTACACGTTTGGGCTGCATTGTTGTTTTTTGGCTCTGAAGATGATGACTGTTTGTGTCGTGCTTGCTGCCTGTACTCCTGGGCCTTCACGTCCTGCGCGCGGCCTCCGCCTGCCCCGCGCCTCCCTCCCGCCCCGCCCAGCCCCTCCGTGCCCCCTCCGCGTGCCCGTGCGTCCCGCCCATGCGTCACAGAGGAGGCCCATGCCACGGGCCAAGAGGCACCCCTGCTCGCCTCCAGGGTGCCCTTGGCTCTCCCTTGCGCCTCGACCCTGCCGCCCTGCGATGGAGATCGTGACGTCCCCACGCCCGAAATCCATGCACGCCCTGGGGTCTCGGGGTCGGGCTTCTCGCGGAGGGTCTCCGGCGGTCGAGCCCCTACATGCAGCCGCCGCCTGGATCCTCACGGCCGCCGCCCTTGCGATGTTTGAAAGGCCTGGCAAGTCGTGGTCAGCTTCTTTATTATTTAATCGCTTCGCTCATGCCGCCGGCCCTGGAGCCCTCTTTAGGGCCTCTTGGGGGCCTCTTGGGGACCTCTTGGGAGTCTCTTGGGGCTCCTTGGCGGCGTTTTGGAGGCCCCCAGGGCCTCTTGGGGGGCTCTTGGGGGTAGTCGATTGCGGCTCCCCCCTCGGAGGCCACGATCCTCGTGAGGGGTGTCGAAAAATACCCTCCTGGCAAGTCGTGGTTAGCTTCTTTATTATTTCGCCGATCGGCGCGGGGCCTCGCACAACCCCCTCCCCTCCCCCCATGGAGCAGGTCTTGGCTGTTCTTTGGGCGCCTGCTTCGAGCGGGTGGAGGCTCCCCCATGGGACGCACTGCTGCAAGCAGTCGCACCGAGCAGAGGTCCGCAGCCAGAGCCCCCCCCCCTTTCCGCCCAACGTCGAGCCGCCGAATAAGAGAACGTTCGCCAAGGCTGCTTGCACGGATGGGGGGAGGGGCGCGGCGGGGCCCGAAGGCAAAAATCAGGATCCCACGCCGAGCCGGGACCCGCTTGCACGCCTTTTCCGGCCCGTGCGTTGGTGGAACAAGGCGGCGGAGGGGGTGGCGGGCCCGCACCTTTCAGAGTGCTAAGTAGATGATGACCCTCCAGACTCATGAACCTCGACAGGAATTTGGACGTCATGGTCCAGGTGCTAATTTTTTAGCCCTCCTGTAATCTCCCAGCGCGTTGCGCCACTCGCGAAGTGACTACTCGCAATCGCCAGAACATACACGTCTTCCTTCATGCAATGGACCGCAGGTCCCCCGCGGCGGATCCAGGCCAACTGCGAGCAGTTACCTTGCGAGTGGTGGAGCGCGCTCATCTATTGGAGGGTCAGGGTGGGCGGGGGGACGGCATGCAGGCAGCCCTGCCGGGATCGGAACGAAAACAGAAAAGAAAAAAAAAACAAACGCTCCAGGCCGCGCGGTGCGGAGCGGGGGCACCCCTCCCGAGGCGTGCGCGCGCGCCGCGCACGCCTCCGGAGGGGGGTTCTTTTTGGGGGCGGCCTGCGGCCTCCAAGGTGCCCTCGCCGGGCCCCTGCTCCAGGCCTCCTACAGAGGGCGTCGGAGGAGGTGGGGTCGGTGGACCGCTCCGCAGCGCCGATGCCTCGAGGGTGCGGCTCGATGTGGGGCCCGACAGTCTCCACGCCGACGTCGCCGAGGCATCGCCGACGTCGCCGCCGCATCGCCACTGCATTGGCGATGCATCGCCGATGCAGGGCGGTGGATGCGGGTATAGCTGCTGCGTCGCATCTGTGGGGGACTTTGCCTGCCCACGAAGTCGGTGTCTTCTCTTGCGCCCGTCGCGGGCTCGATGCGGACGCGACGCGGATTCGGCGTGGATCCGACACGGATGCGACCCGCATCCGACGAGTCCGACATGGATTCGACACGGATTCGACACGGACAGGGCCGCGACGGGACAGACAGGGTTCCCCGAGGATGCAGCCTGGTATAGTTGGCCCCCACCCCATGGCCCGCACGTATCCAATCATACCCTTCGCCCGCTGAGGCCCCCGAAGGCCGACCCCCAGAGGCGGTGGCTATCCTTGGAGGCCTGGAAATGGGCACCAACACCAACACAGGGGGTTGCCTCCACAGGGGGAAGATGATCCCAGATTTCGGTGTTGGTGGTCATAGTTCGGCCACCTTGGAAGCCAGAAGATTACCACCATCACCGAGATCGGGATCGTCTTCCCTCGTTGGAGGCACACCGCCGAAATTGGTGTTGGTGTCAACCTCTAGGCCGCGAATATCCAGAGATGCTGCACCCTCGCCTCGCGTGCGTGCTGCGCTCCAGAGAGGGCCTCGCCCTCGAGGGCTCCAATGGAGCTGCCATCTGCCTTTCTCCCAGCAGGCGGGCGGCGAGAGCAATACGGGGAAGCAGAGCGAGCCCTGCCTGTGCTGCCTCTTCTGGTCCTCTGCCTCTCTCCTCCCTTCCCTCTGCCCCTGCGGCAGTCTCGAACCAGGGGGACCGCTCGCACCTGCCCCTGCAGCAGTTTCGGACCAGGGGGACCGCTCGTGCCTCGCTCCGGTGCCTTCGCGGCACGATGCAGCAATGATGGGAGGGATGCGGGCCCACGGGGGCGGCTCCGAGGGCGGGATGCTGGCGAGAGGCCAGCGGAAGCCGGCAGATACTCAAGATACCCACCTGCCTTTGCTCGCTCTTCGTCGGGCTTCTGGTTCAGCATCGTGCCCATACCAGCGCCGTCCACACGGTAGTTTAGAGCCCCACACGAGACTTTCGGCGCCGATTGATCACTGGGGGTAGTGAACATCGAGCACCCCCCCCCTTTCCCCAAGAGAGGTTTGCTGGTTTGTATGCAGGTTTCCGGGACCCCGCCATCCAGAAGACGGAGTGCTTGCTTCGAAGAAGACAGAGCGCCATAATCCTAAGTTTTTGGCGCTCCGCGCGGACTCCTTGGATCCGCGCTGGGCCCCCTCCCCACGGGCGGCTCCGAGGGGCGCCCGCGGCGAGACGTGCCCGGCGCCACCTGCCCCCCCCCCCTCGCCTCCCGACGCGCCCAAGTCCGCCCTCGCCCGCCGCCGCTTTGCCCTGAGGCCCCGACGCGGCGGAAGACGTCGGCAGCGCGGAGCACATCGCGCCCCGAGCCCTCCAGTCGAGCCCTCCAGTCGAGCCCTCCAGTCGAGCCCTCTGATGGAGAAAGCCCCTCCCGAAGAACAGCACTGGGCCGTCGTGTCCTGGCCAGCCTGCCGGGCAGCTGGCCCATTTCTCCTTTGCGCCCGGTCGCCCCTCCGGCGCTATAGCCACTGGCGTAGCGACTTCGGTTTAGCAAAGTAGAGTGCCTTATCACACTTATAGATGTAGCTGTCTCAGATGCAAACGTACTT